TGAAACCAACTATGATCAATGTATTTTTGATCGCTGATTTCAAATCACCCCACATGACATACGGTTAAAATGCTTCCCTTACGAGTGATCATTGAAAAACTGTTTTGATCACGTGACATGTCCATATAAGGAAGTAGGTCACATTTATCAGGGTCAGAGGGTTAGTCCAAGAAGGGTAACAAAGAAAATGAGGCAAATTAGCCCAACAATAGTGAATGGGTATTGTTAGACCCATTCTCACAACATGCCGGGCTAATGCTACAACAATATCTGTGCCAACAACGGAAACTTCAAACATCAAAATCATATTTCATGCTTAAACTGGTTAACCGTTATGATAATTGGCTACACGGGGATAATTGGCTAAAAGTTTAGGGGAAAAGAAGCGGCCCGGTATACGGAGGTGAACGGATTATAGAGGCACAGTATATAGAGGTTCTACTGTAGTTTTATGATAATGGGATGATTTTTGTCCGATTACGATTTAATTGATATCGGTTTTATAAGTACCCTGCTAACTGGAAGCTCGTATATTCGTAACTTCTTTTCCACGTACTTCATCTCGATTGAACATTTTTATATATTTGTATATCATTTCAAAGTTTTAAAATGATCCAACTGCTTAGTATAGCCAGTTAGACAGGGAATATATTTCTTTGGAAATTTGTATACAACGGTTATTGAACATTATTATCATTTCAAAGTTTCATAAAGATCAAATGGCGCACCCGATTAAGCAACGAACTGGACGCCCATATATTTGTGACTTCTTTTCCATGTTTTAGCTCGATTGAAAATATTCAAACCGTTTTAAAAAGATCAAACTACTTAGCCGATTTAAGACAGCCAATCTTTTTCTGCTGAAATTTCGGTAGAAAGTTTATTTGAATAAAAAGGATAACAGACAACTCTTAAAGATTCGTAAGAATAAGCAATTCCTTCAGACATTCGAAAAAAGGGGCACAAGAGTCCAAGAAGGGTAACAAAGAAAATGGGGCAAAGAAAATGAGGCAAATGAGTCCAACAATAGCATTAGCGTGAATGGGTATTGTTAAGCCCATTCTCACAACATGCCGGGCTAATGCAACAAAAACAACTGAGCCGTTAACGGAAACTTCAAACCTCCCTAGCATCTTACAAAGCGCATGCAAGCTAACGACCAGTAACGGCCCTTCTAGCCACGCGGCCGCCATTAGTTATACCCTGTTCCGTATACCTTGTTCATTGGCCCTAGGCCTCGAATATTCCTTAGATAAAAGGATAAGGACCAGGCACCATCCCCGGTGCTGGTGGTAGCGGATATCGAGATAAACTGGGCAAGTTGACCAGTTGATAGGTTAACGGGTTAAGGAGATAACGGGGTAACGAGTAGGTCTTTGTCCTGAGGGAGTTTTTTGCATGATAAGGAGGAGGAGTTTGCTTAGTTTAAAGCTGTTTTATTACTGGACGAGTGGTTTCCTAGTTTGTGGGAATTTTCAGGAGAAGATGTGTCAAGAGATGTCAAATGGTTGTAAAGTTTGAGTGGCACAACCCACCACTATACCTATTGTGTTTCCTCATCAAAAGATTGAGTGATTGATATCGTATAAAGGTATAAGATACACCTTGTCATTCCAATCTAAGTAATAAATCAGCTCTCCAGTAAGTCTTCACCCCTTCAAAAGCTGCTGTCATATGAAGCATCACACATGTGTAAATGTAATGATCAGTCCCCAGGGAAATCTCTTATCAGTTATAATAAGGCGTGATCCATCAGGATAAGATTAATAGACCAGAGATGCTCATGTTTCCAATCCAAGTCTTGCTCTTCCGACCCACGGGAATAACTTATTTTACCCTGCTTCCCCATCGCTGCTTTTATCCCTCGAGGAGTCAAAATTCATCTGAAGAAGTCGAGTAAAATGCTTTATATTTGACGCTTGTGATGTCAAACCTAAGTCGGAAAAAGATTTGTGTAGATGAGCAAGACAAGGACAAGGTGATGCATCAGTGGTATCAAAACAGATCAAAACTATAGATCTAGATTATGGATTCTTCTAAGGAGGATTACTAGAATTTTCTGACACATTATGACAGCGATTAACCAATTAGATTCTAGCATTGACCAATCAAAATCCAAAACCACCGTCACGTACCAAAACAAACGGTTCACCTCCCTTCTAACTTTCTAATGTTTGCAAATCAACAGGTAGTCAGGAGTTGGTTTACCGAAAATCGAAAGCAAAATCATTTTTAACAATCTATTGAATCACTTTCATATCATAATTCTGAATCATTGCCCAGATATCCTAACTCATCCTAAACGTTCTCATGGTCACGACCGAGCTTGTTCCGGCTTAGCTTAGATAAATAACCGCATCACGTACCAGCATCCTTTGACGTCATATCTCGATCTTATCGTAATATGTCACATTACCAGCCAACTTATGTTAAGTTACCGGCCAACTTATGTTACGTTACCGGCCAACTTATGTTACGTTACCGGCCAACTTATGTTACGTTACCGGCCAACTTATGTCACATTACCGGCCAACTTATGTTACGTAACCGGCCAACTTATGTTAAGTTACCGGCCAACTTATGTTAAGTTACCGGCCAACTTATGTTACGTTACCAGCCAACTTATGGTACGTTACCAGCCAACTTATGTCACATTACCGGCCAACTTATGTTATGTTACCGGCCAACTTATGTTACGTTACCGGCCAACTTATGTTATGTTACCGGCCAACTTATGTTACGTTACCAGCCAACTTATGTTACGTTACCGATTATCAGATCATGTAGTGCCCAATACATTAGGTGGACTATCACATCACGTTAAGCAACACGTGTTGGACTTTGCACGTGTTGGAGTTTTCAAGGTCTCTTGATAGGGCTGCTTAACCTGTAGGGACAAGGAACGTTGAGTTTTAGGGCTTAGGAGTAAACAGTGAACACAAACGAAAGCGATCGGTTAAAGAATTGAGCTCAGAGGACGGACAATGTTCATTCAACGGGAACAAACCTTTTGGCATAGTACCACATTAGTAATGAGTAGTGTGGAGTTACTGCAAGATTATCTCAACATAGTCATCGAGTGGTCACGTGTTAACAACATGGAGCTACACGAACAGAAGTTTGAGGTTGTAAACTACCCCCTGAATGGATCAAAAGCTCTAAGAGAGCTCCCGTTCTACCCAGAGACTGTTGAGTATACTACACCAAAAGGACACGCAATATCACCACAGGAAACTGTCAGAGACCTTGGAGTGTATGTTAGCAGCAGTAGGTCATGGAGTCCTCACATTGAGAAGACAGTTCAAGGAGCTAGAAAAATGGCGGCTTGGACATTGAGTGCCTTTAGAGACCGGTCACAAGTAGTCATGCTGACTTTATACAAAAGCATGGTTCGCTCCAAGCTAGAGTACTGCTGTCCAGTCTGGAACCCTACAAAAGTCACAGAGATACAAAAGCTGGAGACTGTACAGAGATCCTTTACTAGAAAGATATCTGGCTGCCGTGATCTCCAGTACTGGGACAGGCTGAAGAAGCTTAAGTTGATGTCCCTCCAGAGGCGGAGAGAGCGTTATTCTATTATTCATGTATGGAAAATTCTTAATGAACATGCTCCGAACGATACGGGCTTCGAGTTCAAGTCTCATCAAAGGCATGGTATTAAGGCAGAGATCCCAGCCATGAACAAAAGCGCACAGTTGTCGGTAAGAACAGATTACGACAACAGCTTTAGAGTTAGAGCAGCTCAGCTCTTCAACGTGCTCCCATCGGAGCTCCGGAGTATCACATTGCTAGACAGTTTCAAAGTTGGTCTAGGCAGATTTATGGAACAGTACCCAGACACACCACCGGTTCCGGGCTACACTCCGACAAACGATAACTCAATGCTGAGCTGGAGGAGGACGCACTCGATGCAGTTGTCCTGAGCACGCCCTGCCAAACTCACCAAAACGTACCAAAACGTAACGTACGTGTTAATCGTCGCTTACTCCAGGCTTTTCCTTATGTGTAACCGTTTCGGGGAGGAGGAGATGTGGCTACTTTATGTGTGTTTCACTGGGTCGGTCATTGTGGGGATAATGGGAAGAGGTTGGTTATATTCAATGACACGTTAGATTTCATTTCAGACACATTCTCACTTTTTCATTTCATGATATACAGAAAAATTGGCTTTGCATTAGTGTTGACATGTGGTAGCGTGGGAATATAAGTAAGATAAAGTTTTCTCTCTTAATGAAATTCTTAAAGACATATTAACATCGCACAAACGATGACATCAGTTTTATAATGATCAACTAGTACACTGTAACACGACATTAATCATTCCTTAAACAGACATATATTAATCAAATAACCGGTCAAGTCATATTGGTGTTAAATTAATTGCTTGCCTTAAAACGGTCCGTATACTTCCATGCTTCCATTCGATCAGTTAGAGTACCAAACATGCATCATGAATCATCTTTAAAAATAATAAGAAATCATTGAAGGTCATCCTTTTTTGGTTGTATCATACAATTGTCAGAAATTTGCTGCTTCATTAAAATTACAGAGCATTATTATTTGACGTACGCCAATTTCTATAATTGATATGCTGGTTAACTGTTTTGAAGTAACTGGTTTGGAAAAATGTATGGCTTCACTATTTGTGCCTCAAAATGCCGTACCAAAATTGCCGCTATCAAACATGCCGTACCAAATGTTGATTTTTACACCCATTGATATCGACCTGTAGCAGTGTGATAATGCAAGATTTGATGGCTATTCCAGCTGATAGAAAACAGTGAAAATATGATAGCGAGGAATAATTACATCCTTAAACATTTTTGTCCTTCTGTAAAAATAATCGACCAAATCTCTAAAAACACTGGAAATTGTCGCTTCAACACGATCAGTATGATAATTCCCCTCCAAACCCTTAATCTCTCTGTACCGTATCTTCTTCTTCATTTCAACTCTTGTTTATTCGCGCAACATTCCTAAAAGGTTGAGTGGTATCATGTTCAGACATCATGAGATTCAATATCTGGGTTAACCATCACCGTACTTTCCTGCTCCACTTGCCTTCTCGTCTTAGCACCCCTCTTCACATGATACAAAACACAACAAGCTATAACAGTTACAATCACCGCCAACCCCGCTGTTATATAACACCCCAGGAAGAACTTACTGACACACTTCCCAAAAATCTCCAGATCCTTCACCGTATCACAGCACCATTCAGAACTTATTGCAGCTGTTCTGCTACCAGTGCTGCTTCCTTCCGGACATGATGTGCATGTTTGGTTCAACCCTCCTCCTCCGTATGTATCCACCCAGCACTTCCTGCACGCCCACTCACGGTTCAGGTTGTAGTGGAGTTGGTAGCCGATGTCACAGCTGCAGCGGTCAGCAGTTCCGTTGTTGGAGCTGTATGGGGGACATTTCTTACAGCCGTCTTCTCTCATTGCATATCCAGCGTTGCAGTAGCAGGAGAGGGCTGTGGCGTAGTAGTTTGAAGGTATCAGACTTCTTTTAGACATTGAGGTATCTTTTTTAGATACTATCGTATAATTTGTGGAACTGGCCTTGCAATATTCTCCGCTTATTTCATAAGAGCAGTTCAGTTTGTTCGTTTTTGAGTTCCCATCGTCACACTCCAGATTGGTGACCATATCCGGATATCTCGTCTTGTTCCCCCAGAAGGTTGGAGTAGCGTTGTACCCTCTCAGATCTAGCCGACCTACATACCCGATCCAGGCAGCTCGATGGTAACCAGGCTTTACGTGTCGGCAGATAGCGTTAGCCGTCTCCAAGGATGGAGTGTCGTCTGTCTTGCAGATGAGGTATGTCGAGTTGGAATCTTGAACTGCCAGTAGAACACCAGTTCCGGTATGCAACATCTTTTGCTCTTCTGAGTCCCACATTGTGAAGTAGGTCGTATTGATCTCCTTATTTTCCTCTGCTATAGTGATATTTGCCGTAGTAACCTTCGGTGAAGTAACCACCTCTGCAGCCGTAGTGACCTTCTCGGTCGTAATTATTTCTGCGGTCGTAGTCACCTCATTGGTGGTAGTAAACATCACTACCGTATCAACTTCTGCCGTAGTGACCCCCGCGACCGTAGTAACCTCTGCAGCCGTAGTGACTTCCGCGACAGTAGTGACCTCCGCGGTCGTATTAACCTCCGGCCTAGTGACCTCAGCAGCCGTAGTGACTTCCGCGACAGTAGTGACCTCCGCGGTCGTATCAACCTCCGGCATAGTGACCTCCGAAGCTGTGGTGACTTCCGCGGTCGTATTAAACTCCGGCTTAGTGACCTCCGCAGCTGTAGTGACCTCTGCAGCCGTAGTGACCTCCGCGGTCATATTAACCTCCGGCTTAGTGACCTCCGCAGCTGTAGTGACCTCTGCAGCCGTAGTGACCTCTGCGGTCGTATTAATCTCTGGCTTAGTGACATCCGCAGCTGTAGTGACCTCTGCAGCCGTAGTGACCTCCGCGGTCGTATTAACCTCCGGCTTAGTGACTTCCGCGGTCGTATTAACCTCTGCAGCCGTAGTGACCTCCGCGGTCGTATTAATCTCCGGCTTAGTGACCTCCGCAGCTGTACTGACCTCCGGAGCTGTAGTGACCTCTGCAGCCGTAGTGACCTCCGCGGTCGTATTAACCTCCGGCTTAGTGACTCCCGGAGCTGTAGTGACCTCTGCAGCCGTAGTGACCTCCGCGGTCGTATTAACCTGCGGCTTAGTGACTTCCGGAGCTGTAGTGACCTCTGCAGCCGTAGTGACCTCCGCGACAGTAGTGACCTCCGCGGTCGTATTAACCTCCGGCATAGTGACCTCCGCAGCTGTGGTGACTTCCGCGGTCGTATTAAACTCCGGCTTAGTGACCTCCGCAGCTGTAGTGACTTCTGCAGCCGTAGTGACCTCCGCGGTCATATTAACCTCCGGCTTAGTGATCTCCGCAGCTGTAGTGACCTCTGCAGCCGTAGTGACCTCCGCGACAGTAGTGACCTCCGCGGTCGTATTAACCTCCGGCATAGTGACCTCCGCAGCTGTGGTGACTTCCGCGGTCGTATTAAACTCCGGCTTAGTGACCTCCGCAGCTGTAGTGACTTCTGCAGCCGTAGTGACCTCCGCGGTCATATTAACCTCCGGCTTAGTGATCTCCGCAGCTGTAGTGACCTCTGCAGCCGTAGTGACCTCCGCGGTCGTATTAACCTCCGGCTTAGTGACCTCCGCGGTCGTATTAATCTCCGGCTTAGTGACCTCCGGAGCTGTAGTGACCTCTGCAGCCGTAGTGACCTCCGCGGTCGTATTAACCTCCGGCTTAGTGACCTCCGGAGCTGTAGTGACCTCTGCATCCGTAGTGACCTCCGCGGTCGTATTAACCTCCGGCTTAGTGACCTCCGGAGCTGTAGTGACCTCTGCAGCCGTAGTGACCTCCGCGGTCGTATTAACCTCCGGCTTAGTGACCTCCGCAGCTGTAGTGACCTCTGCAGCCGTAGTGACCTCCGCGGTCGTATTAACCTCCGGCGCAGTGACCTCCGGAGCTGTAGTGACCTCTGCAGCCGTAGTGACCTCCGCAACCGTATTAACCTCCGGCATAGTGACCTCCGCAGCCGTAGTTTCACCCGCGGCCGTAGTGGCATCCGCAGTCGTAAAGACCTCCCTAGCCGTGGTGACACCCGCGGCCGAAGTAACCTCTGCAGCCGAAGTCGCTGGATTGTCTTTCGGCATAGTGACCTCCGCCGTTGTTACCGCCGCCTTGGTGACCTCCCCGGTGTCCTCCGACGTAGTGACGTCTAAAGTTTTCTCAGATCCTGTAAAGGTGTCCTCCACTGAAGTGAGCTCCGTTGTTTTGTCAGTTTTGATAAGCGTTAAAACAGCTGACGTAGCGTCCTCAGCCATACTGTCATCCGAATAACTGTCCACTGCTTTAGTGACCTCTGCCACAATGTCCAATGCTGAAGTGTCATCTGCCGTAATGTCCGCCACGGTAAAGGCCTCCGCCGTGTTGTCCGCCACGGTAAAGGCCTCCGCCGTGTTGTCCGCCGCAGTAAAGGCCTCCGCGGTGTTGTCCGCCACGGTAAAGGCCTCCGCGGTGTTGTCCGCCACGGTAAAGGCCTCCGCGGTGTTGTCCGCCACGGTAAAGGCCTCCGCGGTGTTGTCCGCCACGGTAAAGGCCTCCGCCGTGTTGTCTGTCACGGTAAAGACCTCCGCCGTACTGTTCACTACAGTGCTGTTTGCCGCCGTACTTGAATCTGTGGAATTTGAAAAAATATAAGTTTCTCCGGAAGATACCCAAAATATGACCCCAATATTTTAACCGTGTAGTCAAAAGTTCACATTAGCCACGTCTTTCAAATCTCACCTGTTCTTATGTAATGTACTTGTAGAGCTATCACTACCACTGTTAGAACACACAGCATAGCTGAGATGTAGTGGGATTATCTAGATTCAGCTATACATTAACCATATAACGATATGATCTATTCGATACAAATCAATGCTCAGAAAACAACCGAGAAGCAATCAAATTTAAAATCCGTAAAAGCTTGGCAATGATAAAGTCACCATACAAAGAAAAGGACACCACCATGTACTAACATTTCAAAATTAATTCATGAGAATTGAGCAACCCGTGTGCTTCTTTACCCTGGGTGTATTCACACCATCTTCGCTCTTTTCATTTCTTATTAACCGTACAATAGACTTGTGATGATTTGACATTGACAATAGATTGCAAGTATAGATTGGTAAATATGTTAATTGTCTTGAAATGTAGCTGATAAATGTGTATTATGGGGGCGTCATAAAGACGACAGAAAATAACTTGGTTGTAGAATGACGCTAGGCATAAATTTATACGACCCTTTTCATGTTTTATTTTAAAATTAACTGTTCAACCTATTATTTTATCCCTAGTTTCCTAATTTGCCAAAAACAATCCTTGTGTTTGACAATTGACACATTTTCAGGTAGCCGCTCACGAGGTAGGTCACTCGCTTGGTTTGGAGCACACCAGTAAACGCGGAGCTCTCATGTCGCCCTTTTACGATAACTTTGCGGCGGAGAAGAGGATAAACCCTGACGATGTCGTCAGTATTCAGAACTTATACGGTTAGTTCACTCTCACTTTCACTTCCTCTTTCATTTTCACTTTCTCTCTAATGCATCTACTTTTATCATATCCACAAATAATTGTACGGCAAATATCAAATGATTTCGGTCAACTTTGTTTTAGCCTGCTCTAATGCGCCATTGTTCTGCAACAGCTTGGTACTGTTACATTCATGTGTAACACCACGCTTCAAAGCTGCAGATTTACCAGTTTCCATTGTCAACAATTCCTAGTTTCTTCCGAGTTAGGAGAGAAATCGTACGTGCTAAAAATACACCTCAACACAGAAAATAACCTGGCTGTTCCAGTCACTTCCAGTCTCTTCTACAGATACCATCACTCCATTATAGCCTACACAATAGCGCTTCTATTGTTGTGCATAGTAATATTCTTGCTTTTACTAATGCGCTTCATTGTATGTAAGATTTATAAATAAAGAAACTGCCATTGTCTTTAGTTTTTACAGTATATCAGTCTACTTCTGAACAGTGAACAGATTAAGATGTAGACTTCTTATTGCATTACAAAAACAAGCGGCACTAATAGCGGAGATTTTACACTTGAGAAGAAGCTGTATATTTCACTGTGGTGAAACATCACGAATTAAAACCCTGTAGAAACATTGCAGGGGTGAAACAAAAAGGTTAAAACTGCTGACAGCTTGAATGAACTGTTCTTTGAAAGTTAAGCAGTATATCGCATTCTGCAATTTCAACGGCTGCCTTAACAAGGCATGGAAAGACGCCTAATCTAAAGTTGACAATGTTTTGTGGAACTGTCCTAGGCAATTTAACACCATTATTACCCTGGAAATTCTTACTGTTGATACTCGCTTTTCACTGGACAAAACACTACTCAAAAATAACTTTTGTCTCGTAAAATGCCACAAATCTCGGAACTAGCAGAATTTAGTCATAACTTTTAGCCATATTTTATCGATCCCGAATCACATTTAACGATCACATCTCATCTAAATCCAATGTACCACTGTGCGACGAACACCTCTTATCAATATTCCAAGCGGCTTAACAAAGCTTTCCACGACAAATCGTCAGCAATCTTTCGTATAATATGTAACTAAAAGATCATTACTGCTATCTATCAATTACAGTCCATTTTCTGTCTCTAATTATCATTTTGTTTCTAATTCTCGTCAATTTGTACAGGTTGGAGGGGAGCACACGTGCAAGCAAACTGTCCCTCTATTATTAGGTGGGACACGGCCTTTACCGACCAAACTACCGGGATAAGCTTTGCTTTCTACAGGGTAAGTCATACTCATTATCTAATTAATTAGCTAATTACCTCATTAATTAGCTAATTACTTCATTAATTAGCTAATTGCATCATTAATTAGCTAATTATCTGAGCGTTAATTAGCTAATTTTTTAATTATGTTAGCAGCGTTATATTGAAGGTAGGAGTTCCGGTGTAACTCAGATGTTTAACTAACATGATATGGATCGTGTGTCGTGCTTAGTGCTTCCATTTACTGAAAAGACTGACATTGTGTGTTGTAACTTGCGCGATTATTTCGGATGTTTACTAAAGTGTTGTTCTAAACGTTTAGGAAACGTTCTAGAAATAAAATATTTGAAATGCTAGCAATGGCCTGAACCTCTACTTCTCTATTTCCAAACAGTTCCAGTATCATAGTTTCAATTTAATTTCCTCTCAGGACCAAGTGTGGAAGTTTGACGAGGACGGTCTCCAACCTGGCTACCCCAAGTTAGCCATAATGCACTTCCAGGGTCTCCCTACTATAGAGATAGAGGCTAGTCTCGCGTTCAAGAATGGATACAGCTTTCTCTTCGCAAGTATGTTCTATATATCTGTTATATTGTTAGTAAATGAAGTTTTAAAAATAAAATAAAAATCATTGGTCATCTCAGTACTTTCAATAAATAGATTTAATAAAATTAATCTTTTGTATGTACTGTCAGTAAATAGATTTAATAAAATTAATCCTATTCCTGTACTCTGAGTGAATAGAATTAATACATTTATCGTATTAATTTACTTGTAGTAAATAAAATGAACAGTGATTATTTTACCCAGCTCTATGTTATACTATTGTCTTGTCCTTATTTGTTGTGTTACAGTTTGCCTCTGTGTTCCATTATCACTAAACAGTATACCACCACAGAAGAAAATACCGAAACCGTAGATATTTTAATGTTGCAGAGGTATAAAAAGCAAGAACTTTATGAAGTTTAACATCCCATTTATCTCTCGTTGTACTGATTTTGGTCTGTATATCCTGATATATTCTGGTATATCCTGGTCTATAAATTAATATCCTTAAGCGGTTCATTTGGACTTCAGACCTATGAATGTAGATTGTAGAAGCCATTGCATTAAAAGAACTGCCCCAAAAGAGACGGTTCGTTAAATTAGACTGTCTTTACAAATTGCCCCTCAAATCCTAATTATGTCTACTGAACACATACCAACTCTAGACTGGATACACATATTAAGAACTATTTGATCACAACACATACCGGAGCGATAAAAGAAGGCTGTTTTCTCCTTTTTAGACTTGACGGATGAAGAGAATGTTGTAGAGACTTGTCCGGGGAGAAAGTTAGACTTGTCCGGCTTTATTCTGACCGATTGTACCGCCCCGACCTGAGTTCCGATGGGATATCAAGCCGTATAAAATACAGTTCAGGGCTCTTTCTAATATTTATATTTTGATTTAAAAATACCGTTCTGATATGATACCATGCATTGAGGGGGTTTCATTACTTTATTTAAGTATCTTCGTTCATGAGACTTGATTGTTGGTTGTGAAGAGTTGATGTTTCAATTTCTTACTTCTTTAACATGAGTTAAAATGGGTTGATGAGTAAAAGCTGAGAATTTTAGATCCGCAGAACCAAATCAATTTGACACAAATGGTCTACAACGGTATCAGGATTACTAATTTTTCTTGCCTCAATTTCCTGATTTACTTTATCTTGGCGTCACGAAGAACTTTAGCGCCTTGAAATAACTATTGATGTCCATCGAATAGAAATATTCCCTAATTTTTATCCATTGTTACATTTTACGTTAATTATCACATGGGATAACGCTGTCTAACCTCTTTTAAATAACAATGTCACAAAGTGACCGACTTTATCACTATGTCACCCTGCCACAAGTTCCCTTGATACTTTCATTACATTAATTAAGTAATAAGTTACACAGTTTAACTATAAATACTACATAGCGCCTCAATTTTATAAGTTAAGTTAGAACGTTAAATGTTACAGTTTCATGTTTATACTTTATAGTACTGAGAATCTCAGTACTATAAATAGTACTGAGAATCTCCCGTGTCAGAAATTACGAGTCACACAGTTCAGTTGTACATAAAGTCTCAAGTTTTAAGTTTTGAAACAATTTCCGTATTCATTATTTATTTCGTGTCACAATGCCAGAATATTGGAACAACAATGATACAAAGTGACCGGTATTGTCACATGGTCCCTAAATTTCATCATCAGATTGTTTAACGTATAGGTATAAGTTACACAGCTCAACTGTACCTATAGTTTCAAGTTTTAAGTTATATAGTTTCAGTTTTTTACTCTAATTCATCGAGTATTCCGTGTATCATTCCCAGATTCACACACACACAGAACCAAGGCGTCGCCAGAATCACACAGAGCATAAGGGAGTCAATCAGTCAACCCTTTCAGCTGAACATTAAACAAATCCCCAGTATTCCGGATACTTCCCGTGGGCGTCCCCTGGGCGTCCTCAACACTAGAGCCTCTAAATTGAAACCCGTACAAATAGCTAAACTGATAAACTACCAATCATAGGCCACCTGAAATCAGTTCACAGACTGTCACTTTTAACTAAGTTTCATGACGGTGTTAATTTGGGGGTGTTCCAAGTTAGTGTTCTGGACGTCTCCAAGGTAACTTCAAGTTAGCGTTCTGGACGTCTCCAAGGTAACTTCAAGGGTGTTCTGGAGGACTTAACGACTCCAAGAGTCAACACTTCTGAGACTCCCGGTTATTCCCCAGCTTATTAATTAATTCCCAGCTGCTAAATTCCTACTGTTTACTACATCACACATACTTTAGTCGCTGAAGCGGTAAAGTTCGGTAATTTGATTTCATGTTTTCAGACTACCGAATTTATCTGACAATACCGCCATATCTTGAGAGTTTTTAGACAATACCCCGAGATATAAAGGCGTTTCGAAGTCTGAAACCGCCGTTCTCAGGCAAGGAACCCCCTCAAAGGTGATAAGTGAGCCTCCCCCTGTTTAGGAAACACTTCTAACCGTGACGTGTTTCAAAGTTGCTGGTCATCTTTCTCAGCGTTTTGACATTGTATGGTTTTTTCGGTCTATAAAGTAGATTTGAGAGGTAGAGTAACGGCAGTTCTAGGCTGTCCCAGGTTCTGTTGAATTCTTAAGATTCGTGCCGGTGGGAATCGGGCTGGGTCATGATGCTGACAAGTTATCAGTTACAGCCTTGTGATGCTCTGGACACTTCAATCAATTGATCTTTGCAAAAGACAGTCCAGTGAAGTAATTAGTGAGTTAGGGACGAACAGTACGTCTGGTTTTGGTAATTCACGTACAATTTAAGAATTTAACACGTCAATCACGTACTTCCAATTCGTTCTCCAGAAATAGAAAAAATATTTTGTACAAAAATAGAAAATATATTTCTGTAGAAATATGAAAACATTTAAAACATTTTTTTAAAAGTCGTGCCCTCGAATATTTTTTCACGTCGACTGTTAAGTTGGTCGGGATATAGTAGGTACATGCTAAATCGGACGATTCTTCGTAAAAAATACCTAAAATTCGGTATAAAAGACCGCCTCTGATGGCGCCCTGTGGGTCCCTTTTTTACGCCACTGACCCAAAATCTAACTAAATAGAAACTGTCTTAATCTTGTCTCTGTTAAGATTGATGTTAACCATGAAGACACGAAAACGACATATCTCTAGGTGATCTGCTTGTGACTCGACTTTTTAAGGCCATCCACAAGAGATTATCACCTCAGTAAATGTAATATATTTGTAGTGTTGTAATTAGTTTAGACTGTTGCTTAGCACTATTATTACTAACTAACGATTTCAATGTCAGCTAACACTTATCATAAATCTTGTTATGTCTATATAATCTACAAGAAAAGAGACACTGTAATCGGTATACGTGTCCAAGTACCCGTGTCCAACTGTCCCACACACAACATGCAAAGGTCACCACAAACTCTATTTAAATTTTAACAGCAAAATAAGTGCTTAATTTTCACAAATCCTGAATCAGCTTGCTGACCTCACATCCTGAGTCTGTCTGTATAAAACTACAATTTTAAACTATATTTCTAAACTATAGTTACATCCCAATTCCCATGTTCTTTGTCCGCTGATCGAGTTGGAGCGTGCAATGGAGTACTTTCAGCATGTTTCTGCGGTGGTTCTTGGTGTTGGCAGTCAAGGACATTGGTCAATGAATCTAGCCAAGTCTGGTTTTTGGTCACTGCTTCTCTGGACTAGATCATTCCATCGTAAATATGATAGTATAATATGTTGCTGCTTTTTTATTTGAATGGAAAGGAATTTAATTTTCGTGAGGACCGTCTGAAAAAAAATGCAGGATTAAATCCATTGTTCCGTAACTTGATTAAAAATACCTGAACAATTTTTGAACCCATTTCTAGATCATGTTCGAATCATAAAATTTAATTTCACAGGGTTATTTCGACTGTATTTGGGGTTATAGTTAGCGTGGCTCATGATCTATGTCTGTACTAGCACGTACACTTATATTCGTGATTAACTGTCTAGGTGTACCATAGAATCTGTAATTGTCTCGAATAATAAGCTAATTATCATATTAATCACTTAGATATTAACTAATCGATCAATTAACAGGAGACAGATACTGGAAGTACAATGCTACAACTGGCAGAATGGCCCGTGGATACCCTAAATCTCTGGCCGGCTGGGGTTTCCCTAAAGCGACCAAGATCAATGACGTCATAAGGTAAGGAATGTTTCATAATGTAGAATTTTAAAATTACAATAAATTATTCGATTGATTAATAATTAAGTTATCAAATCATTTCATTGAGATTATTATTGTTGGATTATTTTTATAAAAATAATCCAACAATTATAATAAAATATAAATATTTTACATAATCAGTAGGTGTGTTAAGTATATATCAGACAAATAAACTTATGCTAGTAAAAGGTTATCACAAATACCTTAATAATTAGTGAGTAACTAGCAGGAACCCGTGAAATATAACCCTAAACGGTGTCAAGACTCAAGATACTGAAATAATTATTACCTATTTAATTGGCGTTTTTGACACCACTTGGGGGTCCAAATTTTCGGCTCTAAAATCATTATTCCTCGGCCAATTTTTAATTTTTTCATGCTGATTTGGAGGATATTAAAGCATTTGACCCAGCCAAAAAAGTTTCAGTTGTATATCTTTTACGGTTTTTGCAGAAAGTTGCGTTAAAGTCGATGCCGTGGTGTCAGTAAAATGGCACAGATATATATATATATATCGTCTCGCTTTATATATAGTAAGATAACTTAGCTCCAGAAAATAAAATGAACACTTTATTTATCGAATTCGACCTTTTTAAAATTCAAAAGCGACGTTAATTTTACTTTGCGCTAAAATTTACACCCTATATATTATGAGCTAGGACTTCGTTTTGACTGTATCTATTTTAAAGTCGTGTTACACTGGTAACTAGATTTTAAACTATTTACTTTAACCAAACTTCAAATAGTTCAATTCATGAACTTGCACGATCTTTCCTCGTCAAAATGTGTTCTAAAACTTTGTTACATTTTAACAGGAACTTGTCACCGTGACTAATAGGATTATGGAGAATATCACTGCGCCCGCTGTTTAAAATAAGTGAAGTGTTACAAATAACAGTAAATAACAATATCATAGATTCAAAAATGTCTGTCTTTAAATTAAATCTGAAGAATTAATCTATAATAAACTTAGATTTATGATGTAAACTTAGATTATGATGTAAACTTTGTATTTTACAATGTTGGTACAGCATTGTACGGTATCATACCAACAAACCTTGGCCACAAATCAGCTCATGTTGCCTGTATTTCATATTAATCTGAGGTCACGTGACTGTAAACCGTACTTCATATTAATCTGAGGTCACGTGACTGTGTACCGTACTCCATATTAGGTCACGTGACTGTGTACCGTACTTCATATTAATCTGAGGTCACGTGACTGTGTACCGTACTTCATATTAATCTGAGGTCACGTGACTGTGTACCGTACTTCATATTAATCTGAGGTCACGTGACTCTGTACCGTACTTCATAAGAACTTCAGCCACCTGCCTGCTGAACTCTGTTATAATGACAACGTTAAACTAGCACTACAGTCACCCTGGTACCTCTACAGAAACCGATTCATAATAATAATAATAAATAGTGTTTACAACACTACTAGTGGGGTTTAAAGAGGTGTTTTAACAGTTTGACCACCCCCTGCCAAGTTGGTATGTCACGTACACTGGTGATGGTATTATGGCGACAGTGTTATGGTTACTGTAATCATAATTCTCATGGAGTTCACCCCGTGAATGGCAGCTTCGTAGTAATGAGATGACGAACAACAGTAGTTTTAACCGTAGGATCTTTATTGCTGTCTACAAGATAAGATAAGATAAGACAAGGCTCTAGGTAGAAGAAACATCTGTTTGTTAAAATATTGCTATTTTTAAATATAAAATTCCTCGCCTTTTTGTCGTTGGTATGATCAAATATTTAATAATTCGTGACTGAAAGTAAAGGACAAAATTTATATTTGTTCCCTTACCGTTGGGGTTATGAAATTCGTTATGGAAATATTCTCTTAATCTTAAAATCTGAGAAATTTAAAAGTGGATGACAAGCGCAAACTTGTTAATTCAATCCACAAAATTTCAACCATAAAAGTGCGAAGTACTCGACATACCTTACGATTTTTTTGCATTTTTCTGCGTTTTGTTATATTCAGAGCGTGAAGAAATCCGTTAAGTACATTAATTATCATCGCGACTGAACGCAGGAATGCCTTGACCACGATCTCGGAATGTCCTGTTTGTTCTGGCATTTTTTAAAAGGTTTCTATGTCCGAGTTAATTTTAGGGACCTAAACTTTTCGGTTGTAGTTGAACGTGGTAAGTTTAGGGGCTGTTAACTTTTCGATAAGTTGAAACAGGCAAGTTAATTATTTGCAGATTATATAATATGACACATGGAACATATTATGGTATAGGAATTTTGCATTCCTGGATAAAAGCTGATAGTGTTCTCATGAATTTCAGTTGAAAAATTAGCACTTGATTAAAATTACTGTTCAGACAAACATCAGAGGACATATTATGTACTTTCAGTGCTTCTATTATATATAATTCCCTCAATAGGGGATGGGCGGAAAATTCTACTCACGGTTGTCACTGAAAAACAGTGATATGAGCACTGCATACCTCGCATTCCTTTAAATCACCGATTAAAAGTTAAACCATAAAAAATAAAAATGACAACGACTCGCGGAATTGCAATTTCTTTGCTGGATTTATCGACAAGGTTTTCCTCCACCGAAAAGTCTCACTAGAGAAGTAGAACTAGACGAATTGCAACATGTTCCCTCCATTGAATCGAATTATTTGTGCGGTCAATTGGAATTTATAAAAAATGTTCAACAATTCTGGACGTGACTGTCGTGATATACTAGATTGTATTAATGTAGAATTAATGAACTTAGTGAATTATTATTGGATCTTCTTTTCAGGTGGCCCCGTAACAACTACGTGTACTTCTTCACTTACAACAAATACTACAGGTCAGTTATTTAGTCATTAGTCATTCAGTTTATCTGTACACCCTGAAACCCTCCCCCCGGCCCCCCCCCCCCCGGCCCCCTCCCCACCCTCATTTAGATTTTACCGCATTTACAGTTTACCTCTGAACTCTGCTAGCTTTTAAGCGTATTCTTCGAAACTACAATTCCTAATTGATAGGAAACAGATATTAGATCATATCACTACAGTGTAGCCACCTATAAATAGGAATATTTTAACTGCCGATGTAAAACCCATGGAAAATTTGTGACAAACAAAAAAGTATCGCGCTCCACCAAGAGCGTCAAGAACAAAGTTATTTAACTTTTAGAAACGTTTCTACAGAACTACAGGTTTGTTGCAACCTATAGTATCCAAGCCACAAACTCTAATAAGTGGAATGTGCTCCGTGGTCACTGGTCACGTGGTGTAGTGCCAACTAACACTGCTTACAATTGAAAAGTCTCAACTCTTAGTCCTCCGCAAACCATCACTCCGTGAGTTGGAGACTCCGTCGATTCTTTCCAGCTCCTTCAATCACTCAGCCGAATGATCAAGAAACTCTCATGTAGCTAAGTCTCGAGCAGAGACAGTTTGTTTCACACTATCTTAGCTGTTACTGGCTTTCAGATCTAATTCTAGATCATTCGGTGTATCCTGTAAATGAACGATTACTTAGGTTAGAATATTAGAATTGGAATACAATATTGAAAAAGCTTTCCGGCTCAATTGTAGGCCAGATAAATCATACCGGTGAGATACAAGATGAAGAATGAACATGGATACTAAGTTTCCTTTTATGAACAAAGCGACAATCGACATATTCTTCTAATTTTCACAATATTTTCTCGTCTGGTTAAACCTGATTAATTAAACAGACACAGACATTTCCTATACACTACATAGAACAGTGTCTGTTACAGTACCCTCCGCAATACCCGTTACAATACCCTCCGCAGTACCCGTTACAATACCCTCCGTCTAGAAGTCGGTAGTCTGATGCTAACGACCTGCGCGGCAATCAATAACCATCACTTTTCTATATCACTTTTCAGTTTCCCGAGCAAAATGTAAGATCTTAAATCTACTTTAGCGTATCATGAAACAAGGTATAAGATTGATTTAAAGAATTGTAATTGCAAGTGTGCAGAAGTGCAGGATGTGTGCAGGTTTAATTTTTTACATGAACGCGCGCAATGTGATACGCTGGAATACAAATGAACACGGAAAATGATCAAGTAACGAAAACACGTAACGGAAAATTATCCTTGATCGAATACAAAGACAAATTCTTTAGAGTAAACCGTATTATCATTAATTTACCTCATACTGTATTATGAAGGTTTACATAATGCGAGGGAATCTCATGAATATTTGTAGCTAAAGATGGTAAGTGTTTTTTTATAAGTTATTTTCAAATAGTTCCCGTTACTATTTTTGAATTTATCTCGAATATCTGCAAACCGGGCAGTTTTAAGAGTTCCAATCATCAGGATTTATCCGTAACAATGTTCTGAATGTATAAATTGTGTATGAACACGGTGTCTTGTAATGGAGAATATTCTAGTATAGGGCTTAGGATGTTACATTTTGGAAAATGTCAAACACAAGGAAATTTCCTTTTATTTTAATATTGCTACAACTTACTTACGAAGAACGGTCTTTAATTTGCTGGTAAGTTTATCAATTGACCACAGATTTGCACCAGTACATTTGCATTATAATTTAGTGAAAAACTTCAATCTATATTTTGGTATAATATATTAATGGTGGCAAATAGTGACAACATCACTTCTCACAATATGAAAGCAAACTTGGTTTTTATATCTATCACCAGTATAAATAGATATTTTATTAAATATATAGTTTCCGGACTTGAAGTTTCATGACGATTACTAGCCTTAGGGATAATTTCGAGGAGAATAACATCATCAAAGTTGATCAGGTGCCCTTCCCATTACTTTACCCACAAACATGACATGCAAAGTTAGGGTTAATTGCAGCAGCTCCTACGCGGTCACCTCATAAAAAGCAACAATTTATCGGTTCCTTAGAACAGGTAATAATTATTATAGACTTCAGCAACGCAGCTAATCGGAGCGCTGAGCCTTGAACTATACCTCCAGGCTGTAGTTGAGCTACTAGTTCGATAAGTTTCGGATACTTTCCGTTTTTAATGAAGCACAGAATTGTAGATTCGGTTGAATACATTGACTAAAGGAAATGTTGTACAAGTAGAAATTTATTTACATCAGTTTTTGGAACATTTTCCGTATTATTGTTAGTATATTTTATATTTTTAACGCACCTGAATAGAAGGATTATGAAAAGGTTATCAGAATAAGAACAAAGACTATCCAGTCGGCCAGTCTCTCTCTCTCAGCTATATTTATCATTTAGACCATTGATCACATATTCCTTTCAACAATTCACCACTGTCCCTAGAACTCTGTTTTATTAGTGATAGGCAAAGTTCGCATGTTCCCAGCCATTTCTATACCCCCTTCTCCTCCAATTTTACGTATGCCCATTGTGGGAAAATTACATTAGTGCAGCATTTCGATCATTTGTAAACCACTTCTTCTCTGTTTTAGGATGCTGACGTAATATGCTCCCTAATAAGTTCTTTCTAACCGTATTTTTAAATTATTCAGCTCTTTACAAATCTTTAACAGACCTCAACTAACCCTCTTATAACTCTTCCCTCTGACCCTCTTCGAGCTCTTACCAAAAACCTATCTAGCCAATACTCCCTTTGAAAACATCTGCAGTATCAAGAGGATTTTAATAATACCACGAGTCACGACTCTATCTCATCTATCCACTATTTAGTTATAGGTAAAGACAGCAACTCTCTGTGTGATATTACGAAGATTATGTTTTATATATTTTTGTTAACACTGCGACTCTCAGGTATAACTCTGCTATAGGTACGATGGACCCTGGGTACCCTCAACCGCTGTACTTATGGCAGGTAAGCAGCCAATCATGCAGCAGCATTTCAAACTTTCGAACAATCATAGCGAGGTTTCACAAACCATCCAATCACAGTGAACTTAATTTTGTCATGTTTTCCCGTTTGTAATACTGTGTCATAACGTTCATCTTCCAAACCGATTAACCACGTGTCACTGGTCACGTGTCTCTGGTCACGTGTCACGTGTCACGTGTCACGTGTCACTAGTCACGTGGATTAAGTCACGACTACTGAGTACTGATTGTATTGCTTGGGATGAGCTAAATTTAAGGTGCCATGAGTTTGATGAATATGCTTCGCATATGCGCATTTTTATTGTGATTCCGTGACAAAACATAAGGCTCCCTCACGAAATGTCTGACACCCTGAGTGCACCTGGTCACTGAGCTATTCATAGCAGCCAATCGCAATGCTGTATTTGTGTCATGTGGCTCTCTTTAGCCAGTTACAAGCGAGAATCCTCAGAATCAGTCGATTTTTTTTCAAGCTTCAATTTACAAGTCCCCGCCCTTGCAACATATATTGGATATTCGCGACATAACTTCTACTAACATTTCCTGAATTCTTTTGTTAGGAATATGAAGTATTTTAATATTTAGAATGCCATAACCGATAACAGCTCGGGTTAAATTTTGCAGGTGTAAATATTTGGTGCTTCACGGCAATTTTGGGAATTGGTTAAATTATTCTTTGCACTCAAACATCAAACCGTATCATGAGTCCATGACACTATTCCATTTGGGACAAATTGATGGACGTCCATTCGACGGAAATAGGAATCCTAAAACATTTGAATCTCAAAACCATGGGGTAACAAATTTTCGCCTTCGATTCTTCTATTTTGAAATAAACTAGTCAATATAACATGTCAACAGTTGCAACCTGGGGATACATATCATGGAAGTGTAATGGTACATGTTACATGTACGGGTTTTAACTATTGGAAATTGAAATGTTGCTTGGTTGGTGGCGGGGGTGAGAGTGTACTTCAGATACTGTGACTTTTTATTGCTTTTCAAACAAAGTTACAACGAATACTTCATGTAGTGCATCCTGGGTTTGGACAGGATATGCCCGTTTAAAAGATTTCCATCACGTTACATTACATAATTCTCAATAAATGTAATAAATCTGTAGTGTTGTAATTAGTTTATGTATTGAAGGAAGGGGTTTAAGGAAGGGGTTTTAATTAAGGAAGAGGGTTTGAAATTACTTCCTGGCTGTTTGATTGGAGAAAATTTCTTATTTTTCTAAAATTAACTGAAATCGTAGATACTAAGTAAATTTAATCACCTTCACCTATTACCATATATATCATCTCAAAACATGCTATAAAGTAGAGCTTAAAGTTTAAAGTAAATTTATCTGAAAATTAGCAAACATGATTAGCTTATTTTTCATATTCTTCTCAGTTGCTCTTAACGATATCAATCTATTTTAGTAATATCATTACATTTTTAAAACTTTAAAAACGGACTAACTGAGCAAGTCCAAAATATTCCCGTATTTTAGCATTATTAGCACCTTTCTGCAGGGAGTACCTACCAACTTTGACGGTGCCATGACCAGCATGGATGGCGGATACACATTCTTCTTCATCTACCACGTAAGTGAAACGTGTGATTTATAGATGTGTCCTAATTTGGTATTTCTCCGTGATTCATGACCGATGTTTCTGGTCGTGTGTATGACGTCAATGCTTCACCGATAATTATTGAAAGTTCGCACTTCGCACCTCAACGCCGAGAATATTCTGTTGATTACGTTTATAAGAGCAGTGCTTTATAACATTACATTTACTTAAATCAAATCATTTCATTCCGAGTTTCGTCATAAGGTTAAACTCAATTTCCTATCATTTTTCTGGGTTCAGTTTCACGCAATACGTTTTACAGTCACACAATCGTAACCTGGTAAAACATTTTTGGAACGCGCGGAGATTATCTTGCAGCTCAAAACGTCTTAAAGACATTCAGCTTAGCGATTTGCGCGCACCACGCGCTACATGGGAAAATTTTCATTGACCGTTCTGAATTTTGATACTGACTTTATATTTTTCAGTACTACTTCCCCTTCAACAACCGCAAAGCGAAAGTAGAGACAGATCAAGTTCAGGAGATCAAATACTCTTTCTTCTTGTGCGAGGAAGAAGTCGCTGATGACGAGAATAGAGCGAGGTATAGTTGGAACTTTTACGGTACTCGATCCCCACCATAATTGTGATTGATCGAATTATCGACACTTTATGAATGATTCACTAATTGAAATCGTAAATTCTGCAACTTGAGCCTTACATTTATATCGATATCATTACAGGTTCCTGAGAAATACCACTTCTGATCTCGACGACAAAGTGAATGATGAAAATTGGAACCGATTCAAAGATCTAGAAATAGATCTTATCGGTGAGTTGGAACACAAATTTATAATGCCTATTGTTCAGTTATTTAGGGGTGAGACGAATCAAGAATCAATGGTCAACCATCCTGATCTAACTTCCGATTTTAATTTAAACGTTACAGTAGATCATTGAATTTTGATACGACTGAATCGTGCTCCGATAAGCTGTAAGCAAAGTCACTTACAAATTTGGTAGTAGGAGACCGTTCACTGTGTATTTCTTCGAACATTGCACAAAAATCCCCGGATAAAAAGTCAAAAGAAAATGATAGTAATCGTTTATAAACTATGAATAAATTAACAACAAATTGATGTTGAACAAGTTAAACTATGTTGAACAAGTTGAACTAAACAAATCCTCTCCAGGTGTCAGCCGTGGTTACTCCACTCTTCAGGAGGCCCTTTCCTGGAACTTACTCCTGACCATCAGTTTATACTTGTGTCTCCTTCGATAGCTTCTACTTTAGGATTAGAGTTTCTTTCTCGCTTTGTTGCCATAGCGTGCGCTTGAGGCTGGATTAGATTTCTGAAGAGAATTTCACCCCCGAACTGAAATTTAGTCCCGTTAATTTATTGAAAATAGCAAGATGAGCGTAGAAAGTGTTGGACATTCTATTGTGTGTGTGTGTGTGTGTGTGTGTGTGTGTGTGTGTGTGTGTTCTGACTCTGATAGGATCACAGAGTTCATCAGTCTTGTCCAAGATTGTGTTTCTTAATTTTATGATTTGTCTTTATTTGTCCTATGTCGTGGGTGAATTTGTCCTTTGGGCTAGATTTCTTGAAACTTTGAGATATTTTGAAAGAAGAAGAAAATACAAGAAACTTAGGGTGCAATCATGCTCTGTAAGTTTACACCTTAGATAGAACAGTTCAACAATTAATAGTTGAAACTCGATAAATTATAATAATGTAATTTATGTTTACTTGAATATTTGAAGAACCGGCTGTGGTTTAAATTATTTGACTTTTCATTTTTCATATACCCGTTGATATGGATTCGAATATATTATTTTCAAAACCCCTGTTGGTCGACCCTTTTTTCATGTATCTTATCAGTTTGCCTTTCGACAATGTTGATATTTGCCGATTGAGTATATATATAATACACCATGCCACATATCCAAATCCGGAAGGATTTCCTAGCAAACTAAAACATTTTCGTACATCAAGAAGTAAAAAACATTTTTCATAACAAGGGGTGCCTATTTGTTTCATGGTAACAGTCAATCGAGAGATTTTCTAGTCGAAACTTTTTGTTTATGTTATCGAGATTGAAATCAGAGCGTAGTCTACTTTACAGATTTACTAATGATTGATCGTTGAAAATCGCAAATCAGCCGAAATAAAGATTGAACCATATGAAAATAATAATCGTGACCGAGAGTGCACGCAGGAATAATAAGAATATGTATTAAATTATTATTTTTAGCTCTGAAAAGTTTATTTTTATTTCATGTAAAAGTTATCAAAACCCGATTTTAACTAAAATTAATTTACGACATTGTAAATATTGTAAACTTTTTGTAACTGTGTGTTTGTTTGTTACTTTTTCTTTATTTCTGCTCGAAGCACAACACTGTTTTTCATCATCCACAAAAGTTCGTCCACAAAAGAATAGCAGAAATATTGAATATCTTGCGAGACTCTTATGTCTTACTTTGTGAAATTTTGTAAAATCTCGTAAAATGAGGCAGAAATATCGAGAGCGTGTATTCTATGTTTCGTAAAAGTCTTAATTCGAATTTCAATTGAAATACAAGTTTGTCTGTTCACTTTTTTAGCGTCTGTACACTACAACCAACTTGGTTTTCCGAAGCATCAAGATGATACTATAAGTGTTTCAAAAAGTAGAGAGAAAATTTATCTTGTGGTAATATATAAAATGCTGATGCCGAACAATATTACTATTACGGCAGAAAAGCTTCTATTCAAAATTTTTCCAAAATGTTTCGCTCTATTCTGAATATTTTCCGTTCATCAATAGTTTTCTTTGATAATCTAGTTTTCAGTACCTCACTCGTGTCTTTTGCCATCCATGATCCACTGTGAACCAATTAATTGGTCATTAAGGAAAAATTCAGTTAAAACATCGAGATTCGGTTCGCGTAATTTTCCTTTCGTCAATGTTTACTCCGGATATTCAGCTTCCAGTACCTCGATGGTAACTTCTGTCATTCACACTGACATTACTGGTTGGTCACTGGTCAAAAATTCAGTCAAACCTATTGAAATTAGGTCAAGAAAACGTCATTAAAACTTCTCTTCAATACTCTTCCAATATTTGTACTTCTATTCTGAAATCTGAAGATTTTCCGTTTATCCAAGTTTTCTTTGGTAATCCAACTTTCAGTGCCTCAATCGTGTCTTGTGTTATCCACAGTGAAATGAACTCATTCATTGATCATTGAAGAAAAAGTCAGTCAAAACATACAGGGTGGGCCAAACGTCAGTGGACATACGTTGGCCTTAATAGCTCAGTCACTGAGTGCCCAATTGAAATAATTCTTTCTGGTATGACTTACTACCACCACTGGTTCGAGGGATTTGTCTGCATGACCAGATTGAAGAAACTGGATAATCATCTCTTGCTTAAGACACCAAAATATAAAAAGTCTAAAGTTGATGACAGACGTTTCGCAAGCCATGCACCGGTTGCATGGAACTCTCTTCTGATACTAACTGTTTCAAGCGAATGTTGAAGAACCATTTTCATAATCAGTTTTGATGTATTTTCTTTTGCCTTCGCCTTATAATGGGTCATACTTTTGTTCACATTTACACACTTCCTCGCATTACTCACAGTCAACCGCTCTAACATGGTTAACCACCTTCCTTGTGTTGTTGGTTAACCATTTGAGCGGGATATAAACACCTCATTTCATTTCAAATACATATTATGTTGTATTTTAGATCTTAATTTCATGTCATTTGTATATTGTATCTCCACAATCTTTTACTTTTTATTGTTCATGTTTATCATTATTATGCCATTCAATTTCATATAAACTTAAAGCGCTGGTTATGTGTAACTATAAATTAAATAAATGTTATTAATGAGAAAAGTAAATAATCGTTTACAAAAAGATTTCGGTTTTATTAACAGGAACCAGTTTGTATCAATTGGATCCTCTGAATCCTCAGCCAACCCCATTATTTACGGTTTTTATAATCTACATAAAGTTAAACGATCTTCCTCAAATATCAGAAATAGCTAATTTCATCATGTACGCAGATGATGCAAACATTTTCCTAACAGGAGAAAATATAAACGAGGTTTATGATAAGCTAAAAATTCTTAGCGAAGTCTTAGTTAAAAATAAATGGGTAGATAACAACGGTTTAGCTCTAAACCTTTAAAAAACGAATTATATGATCTTTTCTCGGCAAAGAAACCTCATTTATCGCGATGTAGTAATTTCTGCCTTCTGGTGTCACAATCGCGATCGAAAGAAAAACAGAAGCCCGTTTTTTAGGAGTTATAATAGATAACAAGCTGAACTGGTCGCAACATATTTCTGCCATGAAAATGAAAATGGCCAGATACATTCAACATTGGAGTGTTTTTTTCAACATGTACAAACTTTTAAAATATTTCCTCTGTAAGTACGTTTACAAATATATCACAGCTTTGTGCAGTCTCACCTTAATTACTGCTCCCTCGTCTGGAGTTTTGCTGCCAAGTCCCATATAGAAACACTGTTTGTAAAACAAAAAATGGGTCTTAGAGCAATACTACCAGTAGCGCGGCTCAGCCCTGTATCGTACAAACTCTACACCATAGTGAAACGACCGTGGGGGTCACGACGTGATATAAATACAATATAATGGGACTAAGGAAATCAGAGCGCAACATCAACCGTAATGCTGATAATAACTATGTCTCAATACCATAAGCACGCCATCACAGAATCAATTTCACTGCATACCATTTCAGTTACACTGCCATCAATTCGCCAGCAAATACGGCATGATGCTATGCGACTGATAACAGTCGTTAAATTTAAAATTTTGGAATAGCTAGCTAGCCGTACTGCCGTTCCCTGAGAAAACGCATAAAGTCACATCGATGTCGTTTTGAAAAAATGGGACAAACGTGTTCGTCGGTTTTTAGGTAATTTTACTTGCATAATAGGGGTTAATTTTGACATTTGTGCGTGAATAAATTATTGTCATATGTCCTAAACATGCTTAAAAGCATAAATTCACCAACACTGATCTATAAAAACCATTTTTTCTCCAGAATAGCTAAACTATTTTCCCATCCGCATTGGACTTAATGCCTTTTTTGAGGGAATTGCGGACTTACTGCCTTTTATCAGGATTTCAACCGATTCCTCTCTAGAAAGGCAGTAAGTCCATTTTTCCTCAGATAAAGTCAACACAAAAAATACAACATTTCTATATTTTTGATCATATCCTTGCAATATAATTATGTCAATGTGGGCCTCCTATGCATTGCAAGTGTGTAATATTGACGAAAAATAGATAATTTCTCGCTCAAAATGCCTATAAGTTATAATTTCTTAAATATCGAACATTTTGGAATAATTTTTACAGCATCGTATTCAGCTCCAAATTTTTCAAAAGATGTTTCAATAATTCACACAAGGGGGGACCCTTGTGTTCAGGTTTAAAAATTTTTAAAATAACATTTCTTTAAATTTTGAAATATTAGTACCAAAATGTTTTGCTTGCTGAGCTGATTACGACCACATAAAAATTGTTTCGATATAACTAAAACTGTGAAAGTTGTAGGCCAAAAACTATGAAAACTGCAAATAAAGTCTGGACTTAATGCCTTTTCTCAGGGAAGGTTTTGGGATAACGAGCTAAATATTGACGGTTTGTGTGACTTACTGCCTTTCGTGACAGCTAAAACAGTATTTCATAACTTGATTTATGGACACGTTCATTTGAGTTTGAGGATATTGGTAAACAAAAATAATAGCGTTTTCGACGATAGTGGCTTAGCCTTAATTTTGACATCTATTCACCTAGCACGTGCAGAAGTTCTGAACATTAGCCACGTAACCCATACTCCCATATGCACCGCTCAGAAAGAAAATCTATTGTTGTTAGGCACTATAATGTTTCAAATGTCACATTTTGTGTGACTTAGTTAACTGCAGTTGTTTAATTATCATTCCTTGGTCTGAAATATAGTAAATTAAATGTGACAAAATTAACTTTCCCTGCCCCAACAATATCAAGATAGTGCACGTTTAAATTGGCATAGGATGCTTTATTACAGGTATATTAATCGATCCGAACTACGAAAAATATTTTTTAATCTGATGACGATTACCTAACTCTTATAATAACTGATGTGACAAAGCAAAGTAAACATGTCTTGCCCCTATTTTGAAGAACTATACCTCTATTAGAATAATATGTAACTTAATCATCAACAAATTTTTGATAAACTAGTTATTTTGCCAGCAAGGAGCTAACAGAGTTATAATGATTTTTTTGTGACGAAATTACCCTATTTTTGACCATGTTGTGGTAGTTTAATTGTGACACTGTTAACAAATTACCACCTGATAATGATTCATGTGACTGGTGCATGGTACTAGCAGTGTTGTTTGATCCATAGTACGTAATATATAAGGGGTTTAAGCTGGTATATCATTATTTGTTCAATTTCACACATGTTCAGATATCATCAAGATAATGTGACAAATTAAACTTGGTTGTGCCTTCTGTGTTTTAATTCCTTACGACTATATGATATAATAACAATTCCCAGCACTTTCAGGCCATCAAATAAACCTACACTACTCAGCATTGCTTATCAGGGTGCCCTAAACATTCATCACATATTTTCTTTGTGTGTGACAGAGTAAACCTGAGTTTACTCGAAAAAAGTCGTCAAATATGTAGGTAATGGTCATATGTACCCATCCAATCAACTGGACACTCAAAAATTTGGTCAAAAACGGCAGCAAGGGGTCCATGTTTACTCCGTCACATGTTTAATGTTTATAGTGTGACAATGTAACTATTTCCGTGCCGGCCGTATTTAAGCGATATCTTATCACCTGATTAAGATATCGTTATGTGACAAAGTTAGCCTAGAGGATGAAACGATTATCCTAACCATCAAGGGTTTATGTAATTGCATAGTGTGACAAAGTCAACTACACTGTGCCTTTTAATAGGGTCACTTATATTTACCAATATCCTCAAACTCAAATGAACGTGTCCATATAGCTTAAGTTGTAGAGAATCTTCTCCTGAAAATGTTGGTACCAATATCTCAAAATTTCGAAAAAATATGGACTTAATCATTAATGCGTTTTCTCAGGGAACGGCAGCGTAGCTACTAGCTATGCGCCTGTTTCCACTCTAACAACTCTAAAAGCGCATTAATATGATAATTTCAACTAAAGGCAACTTTTTATGTGCTCAGCTATGTTTTGTTCGACAAGCTCCATTTTAATCGTTTTAATAAGATCTCATCTTGTGTGAGTTTTAAATTTGAATTGATAACACTTATTATAATTATATATATATATTATTTGAGTAAACATTGGCTGGTACTTCGGGCCGGTCCCCAACAAAACAAACAAAAAATAAGTAAAAATTGAAAAGTGCAGCAGCCGGAAGAAAATACATTAACATATAATAAACTTTGAAATTAACCAGAAAAATGTTTCATGATCATTAAAACAAGAATTTCGCCGCGGTTAAACCACGCAAGATCAATTTTCCCTACATACAATGTACTTGTACCATTAATTCTTTCGAGTGAAAATTAAAGTGTGACTGGAAAAAAGTACAACATATTTACATAATATGTTTTTTAATAAATGAGTGGGATTCGTGCATGGTAAAAATTGACGATTTATTTGACCAATGTAACGCCGCGCATCAATAGTAAATAAATCCAGAAAATTGCGGAAAATAACTTTGCGAAGGAGGAACTTCACTGTAATTTAATTAAATAACAATATCAGACGCTTCCTATACACATAATTATAGGGGAGTGGTCTATATTGCGAAGGAGCCGAGTTTTGTCATCAACGTAGCGCCGTCGGGCCACCTCATATATACAAACCCGATTACTTATTCCCTACGATCTTTTTGCCTTCGGCAAGAGTAGGAAAAAAAATTGAAAGTATAACACTGAAAGGTAATGTCTATTGTAAATATTTTGTTCCTATCCCGGTCTTCTTACAACATATGGAAGATAAATGCCAAGAGGGGCGCCAAAACAAATGCGAGAGTTGACGCAGAATTGCATTTGGTCGTGGTGCAGTCCGAACATTTATTTGCTGTCTTCGCTGTTAAATCATAATCTAAATCACAAGGTCCACAGCCGTTGTGGGGCACGGTGTAGGTACCGTCTGCACTCTCTCCAGGACTGAAATAATGAATGGTGATCATTAAGTTCTCCGGTTGAATGCACACTTTATACCAATAATTTAAATTGGTAGGTTTCAGTATTGTTAATGAAACTGAGCAATTTAAAGTTAGGCTATGCAAACTGGAAAACTAAGAGCTTAACTATTTAACTATTGTCAGTTATCCACGAACTATCACTTATTTTGACTTCAATTGATGAGTGACAATTTAAATATTCGTTATTTGCTGTGAATCCTCATCTCCGTACCTGTTGCACATGGGAGAGGTATGTTCTTGGTAGCAAGTCACTGCAGCTGCTACTTTGTTCCATTTTGATGCATTATAGACGTGGTTGTAACACTGAAATTTTTCCGTCCACGCTGAAGGTTTATTTTTACAGCGATTGTTGGGTTCATACAAATTTATGGAGGTTGCGAAATTGAGTGTTCAAGACTTTTATTTTCAAAGCAGGACTAATAATAATAATATTCTGTTTAACTTTACTGGATTCTCTTATTGAGCCGCGGATTAATATTTGATGTGGAAGGTATATAATCGCAAATGTATTTACTTGTGCAAATGTATTTACTTGTGCAAATGTATTTACTTGTGCAAATGTATTTACTTGTGCAAATGTATTTACTTGTGCAGAGCTAACCTTGGATGTCTTTAAAAAAAGTAAGGAAAAGTCGATATAAGATAAACTTGTCACTATATAGTGTTGTCATTATATAGTGCGTTTTGCACACTATATAATGACAAAGATCAGCTGTCATTATAAAGTGCTTGTCACTATTTTGTCACCATATAGTGTGATTACCACTTGGTAGTGCCACTTGTGTGTTACATCCTTCCTCTGCTGTGGCAACGCATTGTGCACATGTCGCAGTACTGTCAGCAGGGCACGATCCACATCCGTACGCTTGAGAACTCAAAGAGAGACCTCCGTAACCGGCACCTCCGTAACCGGACCACACTGGACTGAGGGAATGATGGGTTGTTATATTGATGTCTTAAAGTTAGTGAATACTGAGTAGAAAATATAGGAGGATTTGTCGTTTTGTAAAAGTCACTGGTCAATTGTTAACTAGATGACACCACTCATCAATTACTCGATATTTGTGTCTTAAAATTTTTAGAGTGAGAGTAACATTTTCTGAATTCTTTAATTGTTTCTTAAAATTAGATATAGTTTCTTTAAACTGGAAAAGATTCTACTTACGATGTACAATAAGTAACTGTACCAACCCCAGGACACACCACATCCGCGAGGCTGCCATCAGTCATTTCCTTGCACTTATTGGTATTAGGCGCTGCAGTAAATGATTTTTGTATTATCATTCCATACTTATATCTTAAAATTTTCCTTTAAAAACTACAAATCTTATTCTGAACGTGACTACGATTTGTTTCGATTGCCCATCAACACAGTTAAATGATCAAACTGTGTCAGTTGTGAGTTGTGAAGATAGTGAAAACTGACATGGTAATTAGGTAATAATATTACTTATTAGTATACATACCTTAAGCTAGGAACGTTATGTCTATTGTCTATTAGTATTGTCTCCATCGCAAATTCAGATTTACCTGGAGTTACGTCTACGTTACATCCTTTGTCTGCTGTGGCAACGCATTGGGCACATGTCGCAGTACTGTTAGCAGGGCACTCTCCACACCCGTACGCTTGAGCACTCAGACCTCCGTTCTCCGACCACACTGGACTGAGGTCGAATGGTGGGTTGTTATATTGATGTCTTAAAATTAGTAATAGTATGCTGAATGTAAAACATGGAAGGAGTTGGGTTCGATGTTGGTTTGGACACCCGTTGAAAGTCACATCAAAATAGTCAAAATATTGTAAGTTCATTTGTGAGATGTTATCATTAATCAATGACTCGAGAGTATTTAAAACCATCAGAATGGAAGTAGTTTTTTAAATTTTCCAGTATTCAATTCTGAAATTAAAAATATTTAATTTTATGGAAAAAAGGAAAAGTTGCAACTCACGATGTACAATTGCCAACTCCGTCCTCGCAGTCCTCGGCAGTGACGCCATCAACGCCATTACACTTCATGACTGCCGCCGCTGAGGGTGTTCACTGGTTTATTATCAAATTTGTATTGTACTAATACTATTTATCTTTGATGTTTGAAATCTTCTAATCTTATTTAAACATAACAACAGTCTGTTCGATTGCATAACAAAGCAGTTGTATTATCATACGGTGGCACTCGTTAACAGAAAGAAATTAGCCAAGCACACGATGTTCGATCCTCTAAAAAATAAACATTACTTACAGACAGCTGAGAAGACTCCTATCAGGATCACTAAAACCTTCATTTTTCTGCTTTGACGTTTAGCTAATTAATTAAGAGTCGTATTATTTTTTATCTACAATAAAATCACAATATCAAAGTTGTTAAAACCATCCACCGACAAACTGGAATCAATAAACATCAGCTACAAAAATTGCTCCTTGTTAAATCGTAACAAGTTCGCGATACACATTAGCAGGTTCGAAATGTTTCTATTTGAGCTAGGATTAGGAACCGACCGGATATCCGGCTGAATCCAGATCCGCATTTCAAGATATGCATCTTGAAATGCATATTTTTCGTCACATTTTAACTCGAATCCCTAAAAATCAAAGCTTTTTTCACTAGACTTTGAAAAACCGAAAAAATATTTTCGGCTTATAATGAACAGGGTAGCAAGAAACGTGGAGAACCGAGAAAAGTGGTTTTCAGAAAAACTGGAAAAATGTGTACTTTTCGGTACTATTTTCGGTCCAAGTCATTCTCGATATGTACCTCTCGTATCGAGAGCTCCCGTTTCCGAGCTCGTGTGGCAAAGGGGAGGCCTGCCTTCCGAGATCGCATTACCAGGGGAAGCCTCGAGTCCAAAATTGTGTATCGAGGAGTGGGTGCGGACTTTGAAAAACCGAAAAAATATTTTCGGCTAATAATGAACAGAGTAGCATGAAACGTGGAGAAAAGTGGTTTTCAGAAAAACTCCGAAAATTTTTTGAAACCTAAATAAAAAAGTTGGCCCTTTTTGGCCCCTTGCCCAGATTGTATGGGGGCGATGGCCCCCTGTCCCCCCCCCCCCCCCCCTTCCTACACCCCTGTCAAAACCAATTAAAAAACTGCTTGATCAGATACGACAGTTGCGCCCAATCGATATATTGAAATTCCTCCAATTATAATAAAAGTAAACTTTATTCAATAAAAAATCGTACAATCATAACGATGGACGCAAAGCTACGAAGAATTGAGAGTTACGGAATACCGTATTCGTCCGAACTTCATTTTTAGATTTTGCACATTTATTTATAATTTAATTTTACTCCCTCCAAACGTCCAAACCGAATGTTAATTCCACAAGTTGCAGGAGGGTCTGTGGCCTCTTAGTTTGTCATCCACGAACTGAGTCTTAAGTACAAATTTTTACATCTGAATCTGACATGGCGAATCAGATCACGTCACTTATGATTGGGAACCTGTTAAGTGTTAATGGCCTGTTAAGGTGTGGGAAACGGGCGCAACTGTCGGTAGGCCTTTAGAATACACTTGTCCTAAAAAACGGGAGCATTACGTTGAATCAGGTGATTGGGTTGGCACAAGATCCTCACTATGGGAATCGTGCAGAAAGCCCAATTACGGTATCCTAGCACCCTGTCACATGATTAGCGATTATGTAATCATTTATTACCAGATCAAATCTAGAACCTTCTACGACATTCAGATTCAGAAGTCGTTTTATTAGCCGAGATTCAATGTGCAGAAAGCCCAATTACGGTATCCTAGCACCCTGTCACATGATTAGCGATTAGGTAATCATTTATTACCCAATCAAATCTAGAACCTTCTAGTTCTACGGCATTCAGATTCAGAACAGAAGTCGTTTTATTAGCGGAGATTCAATGCGGTAAAAAAGTGATAAATAGTGGCTATTCTTTAAAAATTTCGAGTCCAAAATATTGAAAGTGAAACTTTTCAAAAAATTTATTAAAATTAGTTCATCATACGTTTTACGTAATTATAAACATTTTTGATCAGAATATATTTTTGAAATATTTTTAAAAAATGTATTGATTATTTAATTAATCAAGGCCAACGTATGTATACTAACTTTTGGCCCACCCTGTATATATAGCAATAATGGACACGATAGGTATAGGAGTGGATTCTGCTCCGAACATTCTGCTCATAACATATAAATTGGCTGTCTATGGTCTAGTGTATTGGCCCGACGCTGATTCCTAGTGAATCATTGAATAATTTCCGCTATTTGAATTCTCTTTATCATTGAATAAAAAACATCAAACAATTAGAATAATATTAACACAGATTTCTTGCAGGACCATCAGATCTAGATGCTAGTGACTATAATGACACAGACTGGCCATACGTTATAATAGTTTTCATAATGATGGGGGTCTATGACTATATACTTTTAGTTTTATCATACGTGGTCAAAAAGTGTTCAACTTGTGTATGTGATTGTGAAGTCGGCGAAATTTTTCAAACTATTAATAAAAACCCAGTGAATGTTTCTGAGAACCCTAGGAGTAGGAATCTGTATACTATGAGAACTATAATTTAATTATAGACACTGACAGTGACGAAAACGAGATAAATGTTCATGAGAACCCTATACAGGCACGGCCTGTATTAATATAATGATAGGTTACCGAGGTATGGTTCAAGCTGAAGCTTTTCTCGAAGGTAGCTAAGCAGTAAGCATGTCAAAGGAGGAATGCCCCACCAACACTCAACATAAGAAATAAGGATGATATTCAGATATGGCTCATTAAACTTCGATAGCAAAATATAATATACATATGGAATATACACATATTTAAAAACTACGCTGTTAAATAATCCAAAGTGAGAGTGCCTGCAAATTTGGCTGCAAAGTTGGCGAATTCTTCAACTTAATTGCGATGATTTTTGTCTCCCAATTATCCGCACAAAAAAATTTGTAGTGTTGAACATGCAGGTGCTGAATCGCACTATTTGCAAAATATTACTGCTCCTACATGTTGCCTCATATCACGAACACAAGATTATTCAATTGTAAATGAGGTTTAATCACTGTAAAATTTACATGGCTCACCCTGGTCATTAGAAACACCCCTAAAAGTTGACTAATTGAGGCTAACGAATTAGCCTCATCACTTTTCAAAAAGAACTTTCTCATGTTACGTCCATAATATCCAAGTTGCAAGTATAATCCATAGTGATTATACTTGATCGAGATTCAAGCTTTAACCTCATTCGAGGTGAAAATTTGACCAAAACCCATAATCATGGGTAGAGTGGACCACTGCCAGTGTCTCCCATTTATTTACAATTGTAATAGATTAAGAAGAACTACCCGAATTATTCGTAAGCCGTGAATGAATGGGAAAAGCGAGCGACCGAGTTCATTCTCTGTATCATTTTGCATTTGCGGACGGTCATTCAAATTAATAGCATTTCCTTTTGTTTGGGAAAGAGAGACTCTGGCAGCGGTCCACTCTACCCATGATTATGGGTTTTGGTCACATAGATATATACCTAAATAGATAGATATACTTCACGACAATCTGTTGTAAAACAGGGGTTTCAGAAAACCCACTTCCCGATACTGAGATACTCCTGAAATTTGAAAAAAAGGTTTACAGTCGATTTGGTCAACGTCTAGACGCCCTGCAAAGTTTCAGATCTCTATAACTCAATTCTAACATGGTTTTTAAGGCACCTGAATATGGCAATTTTGGGTTTTTTACCGAATTCCATATAACATGCTGGCGCGGATTTTGCGCAAATTTCTTTAAAACCTCCACATAACAATTTCTTATTCCTGTCATCTTTAACATTGAATTAGAATGTTTTGAACTTAAATATACCTGCTGAACTACTTTCGATGAGTCTTAATGCCTGAAAAACAATAGAGGGTATAATAGTAAAGGGGGTATAATAGTAAAGGGGGTAAATAGTAAAGGGGATAAATAGTAAAGGGGGTAAATAATAAAGGGGGTAAATAGTAAAGGGGGTAAATAGTATTTTGAATATAAGAGCGACGGTCATGCTTGCCGGCATTGTGATAAAATGGCTGATCAAATCAAAATTTAGGATTGACGTTTTTAATTTCAAACTAAAAGTAAATTAATGATAACAACTCAACACTTGATAAGATAATATCAGCAACTGTTTCTACATGCATTATTATCAACAAAAAAAATGCATACTCGAAATCAACTTCGAGTTCTATCAGTATCCTTATTCTCATTTCATATTTCTAGGCGTGCGAAATTAAATATAATCAAACCACTTGTAACTTTCTAAAAGGTTATCAATCAGTCAATCATGTAATGTTGAAATGAAGCTAAGAAAATATTTATATTTCCGAAAACAAAACAAGATTAGAAACAAAATTGTATTAATTGATATCATAATCCAAATAGCTCGACAAAAATTAAAACAATTATTAAAAAGCAGCAAAATTAGCAAAACAAAATTTAAAATTAAAATATCATCGGAATTGTGCCAAATATATGAGGGCAACATAGAACATTTTTGACACAATGATTGTATGATTCTAGGTTTTGATTGGTCATTGCTAGAGTCTGATTAGTTATTCAATGTCACGTGTTAGAATAAATATGGTTTACCTTCCCACCACACAATGTACAGAGTGGCACAATATCTTTTTATTTGCATGATAACATGTAGTAATTATATTATATTTTATAATATCCTCATCTTCTTACTTATAATTCAGAGAATTCTTTCTGTCTGTCTGTCTGTACGACCGCCCACGTGCAAAACAAACGAAAAATATGAACTTGCGTAGTAACCATGGTAACGAGGGTTGTTACACGCACGTGCACGTGCAAAGATTGTTAAAACGGCATTTTTTATCGGTTTTGTTGATATTACGTTGTGTTTAGTGCGAGCAACATTTTAATCGGCTGTATCTTCGGTTTGTTTAGGATATTTTTTGACGCGATTTAAACTTATTAACAAAAAATACTATTAGCTTCCTCCCTGTGACCACGGGTTTTCTAGTATCATGATAAAATAGTTTATATAAACCAAGCTGATCGAATCAAAAATTTAGGATCGATCTTTTAAATTTCAAACTAAACTAATGATAACAACTCAGCGCTTTATAAGATAATCGGCTAACTTTTCTGCACACATTTTTATGAAAAACATCGTCAGTATTGTAGATAAGGATGATCAGCTTGACTTTAGTCAGTCAAATCTCTAGTTGTTCAGACCTTCAGTCTCCTCTTCATTTCTAACAAGGCTATACCAGGCAGTAAGTCTTCTCCAGTACCCGACATATCTCCTCCTCAACTCCTCCTTCCTGCAGATCAAGATGACTGGATATAGCACCGCGTATATTAGAGGCAGTGTGAACTCAGTGAACGCCATCAATACTCCTATATCTGCTATATCTTTATCAGTGTGACGCTTCCCCTCAA